ATCCTCTGGTCTCCTGGAAGGCTTGTCTCTGGGAGACCTCAGCAGGGTAGTGGGTACAGATCCCGATCATGTTAGTGCACAGGAAGATCACCACGTTGGCACTGATCTGAACACACATGAACATGCACATGACACATCATGACAGAGAGGGTGAAAAGGAAAAAAACAAAACATGAGAGTCCCACCAAACATGCACATGTCACATCATAAGAATACTGTGAACTCTGCCTGACCTGGGAGAGGTCAATAAACGAAATTGATAACACTCTGTGTCATAGGATTTACTGCAAGGAGAAAAATTCCTCAAACATCTGAGGAGCCATTAGATGTGATCTGGTTAGAGATGATGAGCGTGGCCTCGTGGTTGCTCTGCAAGAAGACATTCTCCTCACGTCGCACTGAACAGCAGATAGGAAGCCCAGAGGGTTCAATGTGATGCATGACTGGGGACACGTGAAGACTGTGTCACTCCTGTTTTGTGCTATTTGAGCTGAAAGTTTATATTGTGATATTTATATAGCATGTATGGAATCCATTCAAAAGAGGGCAGATTCCATCCAGCAGAGCGTTAAACAGATGATGTGACTCTGCAAAACAGCTTTTACCTGTCAAATTTACAGCAGCATAAAGTAGTATGACAGAGATAATGTTTCATGCAACTGGTGGTGTGTTTGAATGTACAGCTTTAGATAGCAGTCAGACACAGAAAGGTAACACTCTCGTGTGTATGCAGTGCACTGAGGTGTGCTGGTTGAACAATAAGGCTCTAGGAATGCAGAGGCACAAAGTGTAAAACAGCATTATCTGTGGCTTGAGTAAATGAAGTTTAGATATAGTGTACAGTTAGCTTTGTGGGGTCATCAACCTAAAAAGCATTCCTCTGTGCTGCTCCGGCCACATTCTGTGTGTTTTTGGATGCGTGTAAGTCTGTTAGTGATTTCTCTTCTCACTCGTCTATAGCCAAGACCGCACAACAGAAATGGAGCCTTGAGCTCTGGACTTCCCCTCCACTCAGAAACACACAGACACACAGACACACACACACACATCCTCTACATGCTCAGAAACACACTCCAGCCTGGGAAAGTCACTTGACCCATGACCAGAGCACAGAGTGTTTCCTCTGAAGATGATATCATCAATAATGAGAAAAAGACATGCAGCCACGGTACACACGTATACGCTGTTTTTCAGTCCGTCATAATAACAACATTATGATCAAACTGGAGAAGGCAAATAATCTCATCACTAGTACCAGTACTTCTGAGCAATGGCTGGTATGTTGCCAAACCAGTGTGTCTTTGTGTGCGAGTCTGTTATTTGTGTTTATGAGAAGAGAGATGGAGAACTGGAGATAGAGGATGCTTATCTGTATACATGCATACAGTACATGTTTTCATGAATGTGTCACTTTAAAATGAAGTTAAGAGGAGCGATAAACTATTAACCTAGCATCCACACACTGATCGAAACATCCCAACAATAAATCGGCCTCAAACTTGTCGAGTGATGGCAGGCTTTCTACCACGATCCTGAGACAAAGTTTACACTGTATACACAAGAACTCGCCCCTTTGTTGAGACAACAAGACAAAAACAATCTAACACTATTACCACAGGACAGTCGCAGGCAAATTCCACTGTTTATTCAAAGAGTTGGTGGTAGCTTCCTATTCCACCTGAAAACAAATGGCCAAACTAGATTAGAAGCACAGCAGTAAGCAAAAATAAACACACTGATGGTTCGCAGGTGCAGAAGCAAACATGCTTTTGATGTATCGGGTAAATACCAATCCCTGATGTAGCTGATGCAGGCAGAGAGCAAGAACATTATTCAGGAACTACCAACAGAGCATCCAAAATGTTTTCTCGTTTTTTTCTTTTCTTTTTCTGACAGATATAGATGCGGCCAGGTTCCCTCAAAACAGGTTTGGGAAGGCACAAGAAGTGCTTTTTTTCCTGAACTCCTTCATGCGGGATGACAGAGAATGGTTGATGCCAACTGTCAGTCAGCATTCAAAGATTCAGATCAAAGCTGTCAAGAAGTGTGAGGCACCTCATCATCAGGCTATTGAAGATCAGGTGTGAGGACCTACAAAGAATACTCATTCTTTACATGACTGGCTGAGCAATTGTTCTCTAAGTGCAACATTGAATTTGTGCTGCACCGTCGCACAATTAGTGATTAGCCTATTGTGTTCATAAATCATTGACAGGCTAGGGCTTCCTGATAAGCCCTGCATCGTAATGTTACAGACCACCGATGGAGACCTGACACTCCAGTCTTGAAGGGCTCTGATAGAACCTGATCGCATTAATCCCAAACAGATGGCTCTGAACAGAGTGAGCCAGTAACTTAGTTAAGGGGCCAGTCTGAGATACAGTGCCACCTGCAGTTCCCAGGACCATGCTTCTCGGCAATGCACTCAATTTACATTCAGTCAATTCAGCTTCCCATGTGAGCGTGCTCAGATTTCCATCCAAGTAAAGGCATTCTTATCCAACTGATTTTGATAGTTTGGCAGTGGCAGTGTCAGTGTTTTTAGAGCTTAGGAGGTCCCAAATTCACGATTTTGTGTATTTTTGCTGAACAGGAAAACACACAATAGTGCAGCGATAGCATGTATACACATTTATTTGCAAAAGTGATGCAAGTGCAGCATCTATTGAAACCTCGCAAAAGCCCCAAAGTATCAGCAGGTACGGTGCATTCAGGTTGAGCATTATTAGAGCTAAGCAACAATTGACTGACTACATCTTGAATGATGGCTCAATATAACAGCCTGATAGCTCTGAATAAGTGAAACTAAAGTGTGAGGAAACATGATGAACAAAGCTTCCGTTAATGCCAAGTTATGCTTAGTCACCACACGGTCTGGAGATTAGAGGCAGCAGCATTCACAGAGGCTTTTGAATAAATCTTGTGGGTGAGCTATGCATGTGAGTGTGTGTGAGACTCCTTTTGGACTGGCAGCTCTTTGATCCTGAAGCTTGTGTCTGTTGCTGCACTTATATCACCCAGGCATGCAAATCTAGCACAGACCCACGGCCGCTCTGACACTCCCCTCTCCAAACATGATGTGGTGTAAAGAGAGCAGAAGAAACTTCTCCTCATTAGCACAGTGCTGCTCTCTTTATAACCACGCTGGAGAGTATCTTCCACTGATTACTCCTGACCATTCTTCCAACAGACGCCTGGCTCTCAAGGATGAGCCTCGCTCGACATTTACTTAAGCAGGAACCTCTTGGCGGTGAAGTTAAAAGGAGTCCAAACATTGGCTTATAAGGTGCGGCTCCCGGCAAGGTGCTTTATAAAGTAAGGCAGACGAATAACATGTTAAAGAACAAATGAAGGAAGGGGATGGAAAAGATTTTTGCTTGGCAAACACAGAAAACCCATTCTGACTTTCATAATATCCCACTGGACAATCCCCTCACAAACAATCACACTGGAATATACATGTACAGAGATCAGGTTTTCTCGGCAAGGTCATTATTTATTCATTCAGACACAAAACAGCTGATTTGTTCCACTGATCAATAAGGGATGTTTCCATGACATGTAGGCCTGCTGCACTATGGTAACGGTGCTCTTTTTATTCTTAAGCGGTTCAGCAAAGGTTACTCAAGCCTAGTCTGTGAGCAGAGCTGGGGTGGTCGCATGTTGATTAATTTGTTACGAATATTAACTCCTACGACAATACAGTGAGAGGAGGTAAACTAAGAACTGATAACAGCAGATACGACACACCGTGACTTATTGGATAAAGGCTTTGTCCACTGTATCAATGTTTGGATTTATCCAGGAATATTTAAAAAAGCCTGAAATGAAAGATAAGTTCAGATATCCCACCAACACTGAGCCAAAGTTTAAACTTTAAAAGGCCAGAGTGCTACATCCCATAAGTCAACACACTGGCTCTGGGGACACTGACTGCTGTTGACATGGGGGCTACTCTCCAGCACATGACCTTTGATAGGCATCTGGAGCTTTTAAAATGTCTTACAGAGATGAACGTCAAAGCCCAGTCACACACTGCTGATCATAGCCTGAAAAGATAACATGTGGTGCTAGAGTGGTAAAAATAGACAATGCTATACGACTTTGTTGCACTAGTCCTGATATAATCGAGGTTACTATAATGTGTAATTACCTACATGAGAAAGAAGCCACTCCTTATAAAGATAAATGTTGCTGAAGGGTGGGGGTGCCTGTCTTTGCCATCTTGGGTCCCTGCCATCTGGAATCGGAGCTCTGTTTTCGTCGTGGCTTGGGCCAAACCAAAATTGGTCTCAGGCGACCAGTGAGGCCACGAAGTAATCTTTGTGAAGCGCTGAAGCAAATTCCATGAAGCTAAAAAGAGCTGGACCCAGGCCGCACATCTGTCAGAAAATCTGATCCTGAATTAATACTTGCACATAAACATTGTCCAAACATGAGGAAAAGTCTCCCAGCAATCCTGGAATTACTGACTAAAACAAACTGCAACCACCAGCTAAGACGACCCACTCAATTTTTCTAATTTGACCAACAAAACTTTCCTCAAATCAAAAGATTATAATGTTCATTTATCCTTCTACTTCAATATTTCAAACTTGAATTTAGTATTGACTGGCTAAAGTTCACCAGTTCCAAAAAGGACAATGTGCATCTGGCTGGCCCTGATTTTACCGCTTTTCTTTCTGACACTGTATCTGTGTGTAGCTGCAGGGCCTGAAGACAGACAACAGTAACAGTGGACTTTGTGGCCTCAGAGAAAACAGTGAATAGAGGGGAACAACCTTTGGTAAAACAGTACACAGATATAAGAGATGCTTGGTTGTTGTCATTTGAGAACCTTGAACATGGCCGTTCCCTAAAACAAAGCAGGAGGGTCACAAGATCCCACGTTTAGCCGTCTAACTACTATTTTGTGTTTCAATTCACTTGGCTGAATTATACTACTCAGCATCCTGGGTTTAGGGCTGCTCCAGGACTTTGATCATTTGTCCCTCTTCCCTCTCTTTTTCTGTGAAGTAGAGAGGCAGCCACAAAATAATCTGACATTAAATGAGTGTGAAACCTCAAGTGTTCAAGGCTCATATGCACTTTGCTTGACCTATCGCT